AAAGATAAATACATCTATTGGAACATGTAATGAAAGTGTTGTTAATTTTCTTTGGGAAATGTTCCAAGTTTATCACTAAAAAGTATTTCTGCAAACCTCAGCTTAAAAGACCATTTATCTGCGTGAGAATTTGTGCCAAAACAAAGCAGGAAAAAGAAGATATACAACACAGGGCCCAAGGGGGGACCCTCTGTTGTGGAGTGATGTTGTGGATGTTACTTTTGCTTGTCTCCTATCTCAGTTCTGGATTCTACAGGGTAGGTACCCTATAGGGACAGATAGCAGGGGGTAAATATATTGCTGCTAATCTTACAAATCACATCTTACCCCAGCTGACAGTGATCTTATCCATTCAGTGTCATTCAGTCTTACAGCCTTTCATTGGAAATGCAAGAATAAAAACAAAGAACATCTTTATTAAGTTGTGCAAACAATACAATAAAATTTTCTTGAAGAGTTTTGAGCGCTATTTTGTATGAGTGCTAAATTACCATCAGCATCATAATGATGATTAGTACCATTATCCCATTGTATACTGCCATGCCTTACAGAGGTTAAAAGAAGCACAATTTGATGTTGGCAAAACAACTTGAAAATGACTAGTGCCGTTACATTCTTTGTGTATTTGCTCCTAAAGTTGCTCATGGAAAATTTGGCTGAATAGAATTAATACACCATAAAGCACTTTGTATAAGCAACATACTGCTGTAATGTATTACTCAAAGAACAATTAAAGCATATTATTTCTGTTCTGCAAACTATGCAGTCAGCATTCCGTTTTACAGCAGCTTGGTTTTCTTGAGGTTTGCCTTAGCAATAAATTATTCAGCATTTTAATTATTAATTAGTTAATGTTTGTTACACATTCAGAAGATTAAAAAGGGTTCAGTAAGTACAAAATACAGTTGGCTTCCTTGCGGAAACAGGAAGCAATAGGTTTTTAGGCAGTGTGGTCATTCACACACTTACAGATCTTTAGCTGCAAAGAAGCCTTCAAAAACCTTAAATGCTTTTATTTAAATGGTATCATAAATCCTGACAGTTTAGCATCTAAGATTTTTTTAAAAAATAGTGCATTCAGAAGACAAAGGTTGCCATACACGAAAAGCCACCCAGAAACTGATTAATTAGTAGATCCCACTTCCATCTCTGTCTACCACTACCTGCTTCAAAGCAGCTAATTTCCTTAATCATAGTAGCTTTCCGTGTTCTGATGCATTAATCAAACTAAGCATAACAGCACAATTGAATTGATCCTCCTTAGCAATAACCACAGTGTTCAAGGGAGCTTATTCTCAGGTAACTGGGTATTAGATTGTAGCCATGGCCTGCAATTAGTCTATTTTCAGTGGTATATCATATAAAGACTGTACATTAGGGCACAATTTTGAAGCACAGAGCAGTGGTTAATTAAATTAAATACTTCCAGATACCTGGAGACATTGGCTCATGGAGGGTTGACATGGCTGACTTCTGCTGTCATATTAATTCCTAGATTGCTTTGGGGAATTTGTAGATCCAAGGTTTGCTGGAGGCTGTCTAACTTGGGTACAATTTCATTTAATTATTGTAATATAAAAATTAATCTTTCTGCAGGCAGAAGGCAAGCCTCTTTGGAAGGATTAG